GGATCCATTTGCCTGGTACTGGCAATTAACCTCTTTCCAGGAAGACAGATAAACATGTCTAAATAATAGACCATTTTCAGTAACAAAAAAAGGGACTTTTAAAATAACAAATAATAATTAAAAAGGGCAAAGACCTAGAGCCTAGGCTGCAAACTACAGTAGTCTAGGTACTCAAGGGTACCCAATCAAAGGATCTAGATTTTCGTGTGGCAACTATTAGGGACAAAGGACACTATGGCCCAGCACTCACTCTGGCCAGGGATTGCCAGGTTGTCCCTTGGCATGACACTGTAAGATTATACAACTGTTCCTTGCACAAGGATGTCAAGCCATCTGACTTGGTCTCTGTAAATGATGTCTCTTCCTCTAACCCCCACTAAGGACTGGGAGAGGCTGAACAAACCCCAGAGCCTAGGTCTTAATGGTCGTTAAAATGCTAAATCTTATGTTGAAAATTTCTAGTGACTTACTAAAGAAATTTTCTTATGGTTAAATAAAGGGAACTTTGTTGGAAATCTCAAAAAACAAAACAAAACAAAAAAAAACCAAACCAAAGTATCAGTAGCAGGTAAATGGATCCATGAAACTCTCTTTCACTGCTCAAAGTAGGTGATGTCCAGCTTGTCTGCTATTCACACCAAGTACCAGGCCATGTACCTGCCAGAGGCTACAGCCATGGGCTGGAAAGGCAATCTTTTCTGACCACACATAGGGCTCCATCTGCCAGGGCAGAATAGCATTGTCAAAGAACACTCAGTTCCAAAGGTCAGAAGGCCACTGGCCCCAGAGAGGGGTAAGTGTGGATGAACTCAATAAAGACAAAGGAGATCTAGGATCCTCCTCTCTTGTTAATAGGAAACTGCTGGTCAGAAGGTGAGGATGAGGTGGGGCAGACCTGGATTCATGGTGGACAGGTCACTAGACCTTCACTATGAGGAAAAGAAAGCTGGGCCCTCATGACCCAGGATCTATCATAGAAAGAAAAGGCCTAGGTTGGACCACCAGAGTGGTAGGGGTGAGAAGCTTAGCATGCGTGACCTTGTAGTCCAAAATCATTTCTCTTACAAATGTGAAGAAATTATGAGGGCTCACTCAGAGAATTACTCTCCAAGTACCAAATAACACTGTGATTCAAGTGCTTGTGACTCTCCCTCCTTTCTTGGCCTGCCTTGTGTTGGACAGAAATTATGGTGGCTGTTAATTACAGTCAAAACAAATGTTTGGGTTAAGTGAATGTTGGGGTTAAAACAGCAAAGTTGGCAACACCAAAGAAGGGAAATAAGAGGGCTTGTAGCTGGGTATGAGGTAGCCAAACTGATAAGATAGGAGGAAAGACAGGGCTCTGGGAAAAAGAACAAAGTAGATCTCAACAGGCTCCAGTCAACCCCAGCAACTCCCTCACCGTAACACACCACCAAGAATCAAGGCACTGTTGCCCTTTTCTCTGATAAATGTCTCAACTTTACGGGTAGCTACATCTTTAAAGTTATTCTTATATCTAATGCATCTCTAAGTATAGCTGACTGAATTGTGGGCAAAGATGGTGTCTAAGACCCACTGAAGGGTACTCCAGTTGCCTCACCCTGTGTCCCTGTTGAGCATGGAAGAAGCCAGAGAGGTCTGCGTCCCTTATCGGCAGTTTGGGTAACCCCTTCAGAGGATGGCGTGATAAGAATAGGAGGTAGGACTTGGCTAGGCAGTTAGGGTAAAAAGACCCCAAAGAAATGTAGCCAGTTTCTAGGCTAAAAGTCAAAATGTCCTTGGGCCTGTTAGCAACATACTCTTAAGGCCAAAACTGTCAAAATGTCAAAAGTATTTGGGAGCTCGTATCTAATCCTTAAAAGATTTTAGGGTTACCTCTTCAGAGGGGGGAATGTTGGAGGGGAGGGGGTGGGCATGGATTCAATCAAAACACCTTATATGCATGTATGAAATTCTCAATAAAGTTTTGTAAAAGTTGAAAAAAAAAAAGATGGTGTCTAAGAAAGCCTCCACCTATTTGAGGAAGGAGACCATCCTTGGACAAGGGAGAAGGAATGGTCCAGACACAAAAGACAGCCTTTTCTACTGCTGCTGATCACTTTCCCTCCACTCTGCAGACTGGACTTACTTTCAGCTTTTGCTTTCTTTTTATTTATTTTTAAAAACATTTTTAAATTCAATTTTTGCGATTTTCGCATAATATATTTTGATGGTATTTAGATCCCTTCCCCATCCACATCTCCCCTTATTGGCCCCTGTGCAATTTAATGTACTCTATTGTGTGTGTGTGGGGGTGTGTGTGTATAAAAAGGTCTATAGAGTCTAATTTGTCTCCCCAAATGTCCTTCAGAGTGGATCCATCTACGAAGCCTGGTTAACTTACCAAGTATCCCATCCTTGAAAGAGACTGCCTCTCCCCCTCTAGCAACCATCAGCTGCCAAAGTTTCCTTAGGTTGGCTTGGGGTTCCTTACCCACTTCCCCATGTCTATGCTGGGATTTTCTCTGATTTGAGCTTGCATAGGACTGTACATGTTGTCACCATTGCTGTGAGTTCCTATGAGTAACTGACAAGCTGTCTGGAAAACTCTGTTTCCTTGGGGTCATCCACAACCTCTGACTCTTACAATCTTTCTGCTCCCTCTTCCACAATGATCTCTGAGCCTTGGGAGGCAGAAGTTTGATATAAGTGTCCATTCAGGGATAAGCATACACTCTGCGGCCTCTTCTCTGCACTTTGGCCATTTGTGGGTTTCTGTGTTAATCAACATCTGTTCCATAAGGAAACGTCTCTGGTGAGAGTTGAGAGATGCACTGATCTATGGGTATAACAATGTCATTATGAGTCAGTTTAATATGAAAGTATGTAGTAGAAAACTAATACTAGGCTCTCCCTTATGTCCTGCTCTGAGAAACTTTGACTACTTGCTCACCCTACCTATGCCCCTATGGTGTCTTCTCCTTTGGGAGCACAAGAACAAGTCACAAGAAGGAGTCTGTTGTCACAGTTGGGATGGGAGGCAACGTGGAAAGGAACGTCTCTCCTCCACAACAGTGGCCAGTACCAGACAAGAAGAGGGAGAAACAGGAATTTCCTTAGCAGCTGGCTTGCTCACAGACCTCTACTCCTTCTTTAATACTATGAAATTTCAGGATTTGCCTGGCATGTCTATTTGTCCTGTCTCCCCTCTTTTCACCTTTTAGCATTTCAGTCCTTTTCTTTTATTCTTAAAGGACTGACGGGCTGGAGAGATGGCTCAGTGGTTAAGAGCACTGACTGCTCTTGCAGAGGACCCGGGTTCGATTCCCAGCACTCACATGGTGGCTATGAACCATCCTTAACTCCAGTTCCAGGGGAATCCGACGCTCTCTTCTGACCTCCGCAGCATTGCATGACAGGTGCACTTACATGAAGGCAATACACTCATACATATAAAATTAAAATATATACATTAAAAAAAAAAAGGATTGACAAGATGGTTCGGCAGACAAGGGTGCTTGCCACCAAGCCTGACAACTGAGCTCAATCCCCAGACCCACATGGTGGAAGGAGAAAACTGACTCCTGGAAGTTGTCTTGTGACAACCTCAGGTTTGCATCGATACATGACCCACCCCAAAAAACGTAAATAAATAAATTAATAAAATTTCTTAAGGGATGCATATGTAGCTTAGTGGCAGAGTTCTTGCCTAGCATGCACAAGGACTTGAGTTCAATTCCCAACACTGAAAAAAAGGAAAAAAAGGAAATAATAAATTATAGCTATAATGTACAAGTATTACTAAAGCTAATTTTGTGTAGAGACACTCAGGAAACTTCATTACTGTACCTACGTCCACTCATTCTGTGATTAGGAGTACTCAGTGGAAATAAAATAAAAATTCAAAGTAATAGAAGTGCAACTTTAAGACCCATCCTATTCCCTCTCTAAGTAACTGAGTAATTTTTCACTATCATGTTTATATTCACATTTGTTTTCAAAGTGTTTTAAAAGATCAGACATGGCGGTGCATGCCTGTAATCCCCAAGCAGAGGCTGAGGCACAATGAGTTGAGCCTGGCCTCAAACGAAGGGTTTTCTAACAACTCATTATTTTTATAATTATAAAAAAATTAAAATGGTTTCAAAAGACATTAATAAAAAATTCTATTCCTACATACTTTAGAAATACCCTTTTTCATATAAATGATGATAAATTCATAAACTCAGGAGAAATTAGTTTTACCTATTCATTAAAGCAGGTTGCTGAGGATTTCTGTTTGTCAACACTTTGATAGCATAGCTCAAAATACTGCAATTTTTCATCCTTGAATATGTCACTTAATTTTCTAAAAATTTAACTTAAATAAACAAAAAAGTAAAAGATGACTTTTAATTCAATTTTTAAAAGTCCTATAAAGTAAAAAGTAAAGTATCCTCCAACCCCAGATTACCTATACCAGAACAAACTGATCTACAAGCATGTTTTTGTTTGTTTATTTGTTGCTTGCTTGCTTGTTTTTGAGACAGGGTCTCCCTGTAGCCTGTTGGCCTGGAACTCACCATGTAGACCAGGCTGGCCTCCATCTCACAGAGAACTTCCTGCCTCTGCTTCCCAAGTGTTGGGATTAAAGGTGTGTGCCACCATGCCTAGCTCCTGAAAATTTCTTAAGAATGTTATTCCTTAAAGAGGCTAGAAATTTAATAAATGCTATCAAATTTGCCTCCTGAAAGGTTAATCAATTACACTCATACTGCAGGAGTTCCTACTTTCCTAAATTCTTTATGGCATTTAACATTATCAATTTTCAAACTGTTCCTAACGATTCTTGAAAAACATGTTTCCATTCCCCTTCCTCAGGTACCCTCCTCCGTCTGTCTCTTTCAGTCTTTTTTTTCCCCCTGTGCCCTCAGCCCCCAGGCAATGTCTCAACTGGCCCAGTCCAAGAGCAGCCATGTTGTGGCCCACAGCCCCTGAGGGCACAGGGAGCAAGGATGGTGTCAGCACTGGGCTTTCTTTTTCTTTCTTTTTCTTTCAAACAGGGGAAAGCTCCAATGCAGTCCCCAACTTCCACAAATTATGCACTCAAATTTCCCACATTCAGGAAAATCGTAGGGGTCAGCACACTGGGAGAGCAATGAATGAGCCTCACCCTGGGAAAACCACCTTCGTGATCATGGTATCTCCCCTGCAGGTAAGTATTGTCTCTCTCCATCTTTGTCTCTTGTCTCTATGTCTGTCTCTCTCTGTCTCTGTTGTCTCTCTTACATATTTTGGGCACCTGTGAAACATCTGTGATGGTATCCATACCCACTATCTATTTGTCCGCTGATTACCTTTATCTGGCTGTCCACTCTCACAAACTTGCAGTTTTGTGCCCCTGTATGCCCTGGTACAAAGCACTCCTTCACCACACTCATTACAACTGCCTTTGGTTTGAGGACCTAGCATCACTTAAGGATACAGCAGTATTACTCATTTTGGCTCTATTTTTATACTTTTGCATACAGGAATAAAAGGCCATAATGACCATAATCAGCCATAATGACCAGTACCTTCAAACTTGGGAAGTTCTAATACAAACAGAGACAATTTAATGAAAGCATCATGCCACTGCATCCACAGCCATGAAGTTATTTTCTTTACTTGAATAATTTCATGTGTACACAAAGTAGCAAGAACCACAGCACACCTCAGCACACTGTGAACAACCTTAAAGAGACAAAGCCACCTGTGCTCACAGGAAATTAAAAAAAATCACACACAATACATTTGTTAGTCCACATAAAATACCTGGATTTAAAAAAAAAAAACTAAAATAAAATGCATTAAAAATTGGCAAGAGTTTGACTTGAATGGTGCATTGCATACTTTTTCTTCGAACTGTTATTTTAATTTCACTATTTAAAATTTTAAATTAAGAAATTAGACATTATTAACGGTTTGCTCAATTATAAATACACTAATATTTTTTAAAAGCTCACTTTATGGTACATATGTGTATTATGCCTCAATAAAGCCAGTCCTCCTCCTCCTCCTCCACTTCCTCCTCTTCCTCCTCCTCCTTCTTCTTCTTTTGGTCTTTTTTGAGACAGAGACAGGGTCTCCCTGTAGCCCCAGCTGTCCTGCAACTCACTATGTAGACCAGGCTGGCCTTGAACTCACAGAGATCCACCTGACTCTGCCTCCGGAGTGCTGGGATTAAAGGTGTGTGCCACCACGCCCGGCCCTAAAACTGGTCTTTCTTGTTCACTTGTTTTTCCTTTCCTTTTTCCTTTTTAAAATTAAAAAAAAATTCTTTTTTAAAGAACTCTTAAACAAGATAAGTTTTAAAAGACAAGGTCTTACCATGTTGCCTAGGCTGGGCCCAAGTGATCTTCATACCTTAGCTCTCCAAGTAGCTTGGATTAAGGTGTTGCACCTGTAATCTGCCTAGCTGACAATGTTATTATTTTTAAAGAATTTTTAATTACACTAATTTTAATTACGTATTTGTGTGTATGAGTGTGTGTGCATGCATGTGCTTACTTTGTTACTTCTTTTTAGGTAACGTTTAATAGCAGGAACGCTGCTTTGTATGGGTATACAGCAGATTAGAGATCTCTTCTTTATGCTTAGTTTTTTTGTGAACATAAAACTGCTTTAACATATGAAGTCTTCTACTTAAAAAAATACTACATTCATCATTAATTTTGCACTAACTTCACGTTAAAAATTCGGGAAGTTACTAGGCTATATAAAAACGCTGACACAGCAAAGCTCTTTCCCACCTCTTGTTTTTGGCAGTAGCAGTTGATGAGCACAGGGTTGAAAAAGTTACTTTTAAGAGGATCAGTGAAGTGAGCTGTCAATAAAATTAAAAACTTCTAGGTGACTTTTATCCTGGGCAATTTATATATCCTGTATATACTGATCCATGCTCCCAGTGTGCTCTGGGACTGACCGTGCAGTAGTGTAACAGAGAATAATGGAACAGAGGCTCATTCCTTTGCTGTCCACCTATCTTAGATGCTGGCTCTCAGTTCGTGATTAATGAAGATTTCACTGTGTTGAACTATTTCATTAAAAAATTAAGTGCTGGGTTAATTAAAAAACCACGGAGAATAAATTAATTCCATTTATCAACAGCAAAACATAATGGACAACAGTTTTCTGACTAATCTACTAGAACTTTCTATTTGAGGTGCTGAGGATGCAGCTCAGTTGGTAGAGTGCTTGCTTAGTTAGAATGTGGGAAATCCTGGGTTTGATTTTTAGCACCACATAAAACCAGGTGAGGTGGCACACAGCTGTATAGTCTCAGAACTCCTAGGTGGATTCAGGAAGACTAGAAGGTCAAGGTCATCCTTAGCTGCATAAACTTTCTATTTAGGATATCACAAGAATCAGAGTGTTCTCCAAGACAAGTGAAATCATTGTACTGTAATGAACTTGGTAAGAGAGAGAGAGGAGAGCGACAGAGACAGACTTCTGAATAGTTTCTATTCTTTGAAAGGAAGAGGAAAAATAAGATAGATTTTTATTTCAAAATAATAAACGGGGGGAAAAAGAGTTGTTATGGTATGATGATCTGATATACAGAGAGAGAGACACTACCCCAAGTTAGGGTCCTGAAAGACAGAAGTTTAAATTCACTTTTAGAGGGATGAACTCTGTATTTAGAAGCTTGGAGATGAAAAAAAAAATCTCTGTGGAAGGAAATCTGTTGCTATTCTGTTTGGGGATGTTCTTAGGAATAAAGCAAAAATCCTAACAATTGGTAAGACTTCCAAGTCTAGGAAATGTTAGGTTCTTTCTAACCAAGCCTGTTCCTCACATCTAAATGATCTTACTGCTAAAGGCAGGAAAAAAGATGACAAGTATCTTTATAACTAAACATTTGCAAGTCAGAGCTAGAGGCCTGTTTTACACAATCCTGGCCACACAATCCTAGTGCTTCTCCCTACTTGGGTCTCCTCCCTGGCAGTGTTTCGGGGTCTGTTTTACTGATCCTCTTTTGAAGACAGGATGAACTAGGGTGGTCGTCCTAGAGACAGTCTGCTTGAGAAGCAGTGTTGCCTGCCCTCTGTGTATCAAGCTGTGGCATTGACTGTGCCCCATATGCAACTCTGTTCCAAAGGAAGTGAAAAGGGAGTGCCTCCAAAACAGGACTCAAGGAAGTCTGCCTGACCACTGGAAAGCACAACACAGCATCATAGATCAGTTGTGGTTTTTAGCATATCTATACTATATTCTAGAGGATGGTGTATGTCTGCTGAATACTAATCAGCTCCAATTCATTAATCTGTATCACCATAACAAACACTCTTGTCCCAAGGGCTCACTCCTGTCTCATTTTAAAACATAGGATTTTGTTGATGTCATTTGTTTTCCCCTTAACTTTAAGGGAGTAAATCTTTTACTGTTGTAAGGTTTTGAAAAAACACAAAGTAAGCCAGGCATGGTGGCACTCGCCTTTAATCCCAGCACTTGGGATGCAAAGGCAGGTGGATCCAGGTGGATCTCTTGAGTTTGAGGCCAGCCTGGCCTACATAGTGAGTTCCAGGCTGGCTGGGGCTACAGGGAGACCCTGTCTCAAAATAAAAAACAAAAAAACCCCACAAAGTAACAGACATTCTTTTTCCATCCTATGGATACTAAAGAGACAAAGGGTCATAGCCATGTTTTTAAGAAAACATATATTTGCGTCATAGAGTACCTAGAATTTAGTAGTAATAATAAAGGAAAAAAAATCCTCACAGATAAGGAATATGAGAATTTCATGCCCTACTTTTCCACAAGTACTAAGCAGCTCAATGCAAATTTGCTACTTTTCCCCTTATGTTTCCTCCTATTTCCAAGCTGGACTGCAGCCTTTCCCCATCCTAGGAACAGATGGGTAGAAATGGCTTTCTTTATTATGGAACCAGATCATTATGAATTCGAGAGCCAAGTGGTAATGTCAAAGCCCTACGTTAACAAAAGTGCCTCAAGAAGGCACACCCAATTCTTTTCCTTTTGAATTTCATGGCAATGGACTGAACAATTTCTTGTGTCTAAAAGAAATGAAATGACAGCTTGAGAATTACAGATGTATAGGGGTAATATTATTCTTTTTCGAGACAAGGCTCAGTGAGGCTAACTAAATGTTGTCCCTATCAGCATCAAAACATTTGCCTCATGGCTGCACTCTACTGCCCAGGTTGACCTCTAGGCTCAAAGGATCCTCCTTCCTCAGCCTCCTGAATACCTATGATTACAGCTGTGTACCACCACACCTGGCATATATATATATACAATTCTTTTATGCTTCCAATAACAAGTAATTGTAGAACTGTGTAGAAGAATCACAGTGCAGGGTAAATCTGTGATTTCTAATGAAAAAAGATAAATGTGTAAGATAGTCATATAATCAAGAAAAAGGAAACACATTCAAAATCACCCTATTCAAGAAGGAAATGAGGAACACTAATAGACTTTGTAATCTCTGAAGGGATGTGGTAAACTTCATTGTCTGAGTCACAGAAAATTATCAGGGCATGGCTTTCCAAAACATACTATAAAATCACCTCTGCAGAGGGTGTGTGTCAGGGTGGTGGGGAGGAAGAAAGGTTCGGCCTTAGCATAAGGCATATTGCCTTCCCTAGCTCTCCTTACCCTAATTCTGATTTCTCTTTTCCTAAAGAGAAGTATGTGTGACATCCAAATAATTCATTTTCTACTTTTTAAAAGACAAAGTCCGCTGTGGAGAATAAAAGCAAGCCAGCGCCCTATCACACATGGAAAACCAGCCAGCAGTAACTCACTGTAATACTAATCTGCTTTGTATCCCTGCCAAGAAAGGTGGGGTCAGTCCATTCATGGCCACTATGTCCAAGTCACTGGGAGGGATGTTACAGGGGGAAATAAAAAGAACTGAAAATAAAAGAATTAAAGTCAAACTGTTCTGATCACTTCTAATAAAAGCAGATATAGGGTGTGTTCATTACAGTATGTTAGTGTGATTTTTATTTATCTTGTATTAATGAACAGTGAGCTAACTAAATGTCATCCCTATCGGTATCAAAATGTTTGCCTGGGTGGCAGTGCAAGCCTGCCTATGATCCAGCACTTGGGAGACTGGAACAGGGGTGAGCACGTCCAAGAACCCACCTGGGTTATGGAGTGACACCCTGTCCTAAAAAACAAACACAAAACAACAAAACAAAGATAAGGCATTTTGAGTAGAAACATCTCCATATCAAGAACACTGATGTCTCAGAGCTTATACTATTAAACTTAGATACAATAAAATGATGTCTTGAGGAGAAACAAATATACAAAACTGTCCTTTCACAACGGCCTTTCTGCCTTGAAATGTGCCATTTAAAACATGTTTTCTGCCTCTTTCACATTTCAGCTATAAAGTTCTTATTAAGCTGCTGAGTCTGATTCTCATAATTGGTTTGCCTTTCCAATTTCAGTGCTTCTTGTGAGTGTGAGATGGAAAATGAGATAATGCAGCATGACAGAATTAAATGTAAGTAGAGTGCTTAAGTGCCCAGGGAGACCAAAGAGCTCCCCCAGGAGTCCGTATGGAAGATGACAGGCATCTACCTGAACTGCCTGGCTTGCCTTTGTTTATGTCTGGGTACTTTGCTGTATCCAAGGCTGGAGAAGTTACTGTACACATTACCAAGAAGTAAATCCAGGCATTTTTGTATACTAAGAATAATAGGAAAAAGGTAGCAACTGCCTCTTTAATTTGCAACTCAGAGCAGCCACTTTGTACCATACCTGAGACATCAGCGCTCAGAGACTCGCTGTGGATACTCTTTGTAAGTTTAATTTCCTCCGCGGCCATGACTTTTTAAATGTTACTGAAATGAAAAGTACAGCATACAAATCTATGAGCACCATGCTTATGGAAGTGAGCGGTCAGATGCCCCACGCTGTGCCATCAGTTCTGCCCGTGCCTTACCCATCAGGGACGGCATATTACCTTTCACCAAGGCGATGCATATAAAGTACAATGGAATGGGAGGGGGAGGAAACAAAGTGACACCTGTGATAAAATGCTGGTTATTATCACTTTCCACAGTCTATACAAACAGCACATCCAGCGAATCACAATCTCCATCACACCGTTGACCCTTGGCCCGAGGAAGAAATTTACTGTGTTCCTCAGACCTGAAAAGGACAGATAGGATTCGTGCAGACACTTTCCTTTTTATTAGCAGCTGAGTCAATGTTTACGTGGAATCAAACCAGTTAATCCCTAAAGTGTGCATGAGAAAAATACACCTCCTCAATTTTACAAGCCTCTTACATTTCAACTATTCTATTTCAAAACGATCTCTACATTTGTAGGAAAACAGATGCAGTGAGAAATCATTAACATTAAGCAAATTAAGCTTGATGCAGAAAGACAAATACTACATGGTTCCTTTCAAATGTAGAACCTAGATTTAAAATTACACATAATGTAATACAGATTCTGTGTGCATATATGTGTGCATGTGTGTCTATATGTGTGTTGATATGTCACAAAACTAGAGAGGGAAGGAAGAGACTTCAAGGAAATGGGAAAGAGAGGATAATGGGGTACACATGACTGGAGCTGGAAGGGGTTAGGAAGGTGGAGGGTGGGAACAAGTGAGTGAAAAGCACAATGACACATCTGCATGAAGATGCCGTGATGTACCCCTTATTTTGTACACTAACTTGAAATTTGAAATTTGAAAAAAGGGCATTAAAAAATAGTATCTAGGGGCTGGAGAGATGGCTCAGTGGATAAGAGCACTTGCTGCTCTTACAGAGGACCTGGGTTTAATTCCCAGCACCCACATGACAGTTCACAACTATCTATAACTCCAGTTCCAGGGGGATCCGATGCCCTCTTCTGACCTCCTTGGGCACTGCATACATGTGATCAACATATATACATGCAGGCAAAACACTTAAACACATAAAATTAAAATAAATCTTTTAAAACCCTCTAATACTCAAATATTCACTTTTATTGTTATAGTATATAAATAAACAGGTTTATAAAACAGGATAACATGTAAAAGCATTTTTAAAAATTGTCCTTACATTATTTCTCCAGTAACTAAATTCTTTGCAGATACTCACTTTTACAGATTCTGTTTAGTAAGAAAAAATTCCCTAACTGGCCAAAGTAGTTTTTGAAGCATTTAAATTTATATAAAGTCATTTATATAATGCTATGGTTTAAATGCACATTAGGGTTATAGCCACACCACCCTGAATGCACCCCATCTTGTCTGTGTATAGTAGTTACTTTTCTTGTTGCTGTGACAAAGTATCTGATCAAAGCAACTTAAAGAAGGATTTATTTTGGCCCATGGTTTAAAGGAATCTAATTCATCATGGTAGGGAAGGCATGACAACGGGACTGGCTTGGTCTGAGGCAGAGGGAGCTGGCAGTGAGGCTTCCCCACATCTCTGTGGTTCAGACAGTAGAGTGAGGGGAAGACTGGCACTCATCTGGCTTTCTCCTCTTCCCCTTTTTATTCAGCCTGGGCCCCCAGCCTGTGGGATGGTATCACCCACCTACAGGGTGGGTCATCCCTCCTTGATTAATCTTCTCTGGAAATGCCTGACAGGCAGCCCCAGAGGTGCATCTTTTGGATGATTCTAAATTCAGTCAAGTTGACAATGAAGGTTAATCATTCAGTACGTGCCCAAAGGGTTCATATGTTTCAAGCTTGATCTCCAATGTGATGTTAAGAAGAGTTGATAAGACCTTTAAGAGGCGGAACCCACCCAGTAGGAGGTGGAATGCTTTAGAGAGGATCCTTCAGAGAAGATTATGGTAGCTTTCAGGAAGCCCTGGATGTTCTCCAGAGAGTGGATTATTACAAAAGAGCAAGTCCTGCCCCTCTTTGCTCTCTGGTTTCCCATCTCACAATGTGCTCTTCCCTCTCATACATGTTCCAGCCATGATTCCATCCATCATGATATGATACAGCCAAGGAGGCCCTCACCAGAGCCAAGCAGAAGGCAGCACCAAGTCCTTGAATTTCCAAAACTGTGAGCTAAACTTCTTTAAAATAAAATAAATAAATAAATAAATAAATAAATACATAAAAAGTATATGGGCTCAGGAATTTTGTTATAGTAACACAAAAACAGCCTAATATAGTTTATCCTTCTCTTCTTAGATTGCTAGTCATAATGTGTTTCCATTTAAGGTTCTGTTTCTTTAGAAAATTAAATTCTGGGGCTAGAGAGATGGTTCAGCAGTTAAGGGCACTGGCTGATCTTGCAGAAGGCCCAGGTTTGAACCCCAGCACCCACATGGTGGCTAACAACTGTCCTCAACTCCAGTTCCATGGGATCCAACGCCCTCTTCTGTCCTCTTTGGGCATTGCACAACATGGATGCACTTACATACATGCAGGCATAAATTCATATACATAAAAATAAATAAATAAATAAATAAATAAAGTTAAAAAAAATTAGATTCCATGAGCTTTTTCTATCTCATGACCACAAGTTCCTTTGGTACCTACCTACCTTCTTAGCCAACATTAGTAATCACCTAAATTGTCTTAATACCATAATGTCATATGTGGTGATTTGAATAAGAAATGTATCCCATGGGCTCAAGCATTTGAACACTTTGTCTCCAGCTAGTGATGCTGTTTGGGGAGGTCATGGACTCTTTAGGATGTGTAGCTTTGCTGGTGGAAGTACATCACTGGATGTGGGCTTTGAAAGTCATAGCTTTGCCCCACTGCCAGTTTGCTCTCTCTGCTTCCTGTTTGTCATTGAAGATGTGTGGTCTCAGCTTGTAGCTCCTCCTGCCATGCCTTCCTTCCCACCAGGATGGACTCATACTTCTAGAACTGTAAGCCCAAATAAACTCTTCCTTCTATAAACTGCCTTGGCCATGGTGCTTTATCACAGCAATAGAAAAGTAATTCATACACCTTTAAAAAATCTCTCTTGGAGCTGGAGAGATGGCTCAATGGTTAGGAGCACTAGCTGCTCTTGCAGATGATCCAGGTTCAGTTCCCAGCACCCACATGGTGGCTAACAATCATTTGTAACACCAGTTCCACGGGATCTGATGCCCTCTTCTGACCTCTGCAGACGTTGCATGACATGGGTGTGCTCACATGCAGGCAATACACTCAAACACATAAAAATAACAAATAAAATATTTTTTGAAATCTCTCTTATACCTTATCTTTTTTGGTACTAGGCCTATTTTTGAAGCATGCCATAAACTTTGACTGTTATTCTTTGGAATTTCTACAGCTTTGATCAGATATTTCCTATAATTTTTTTCTATGAAACAGTTGTATATTTCTTCCCTACATATTTGTAGTAATGCTTGAACTAACTGCTCTCGCTTTTCCTCCAATTTCCCATGTTCTGGAACAGTGGTTCAAATGTCCTCTGTACTTGAACATCAAAATATTTTCTTAACTTGTTCCATTCCAAGATCTTATTCTTTTAAGAGACTCACATCATTATTACTTTTAATCAACATTATAAGAAAGTCTTCCTTTAAAAGCCATAAATTATTACTTCCTGCTTCTCTTAATGTTATTAAATTTGTTGTTATGACAACTAACATAGCCTCAGCATGAATTTCATCTCTCCATTTGGAATGGACCAGATCAGCCCAAGAGGTTCAAACTATCATGGGGGGTGGGGGGGTAGTCAATTGACTGTCAGAGAATGATCTCAATTTCCCATGAGTCACAGACCATTCGGGATGCCAATATCATAGACTGGTGGCTAATAAGAAAAAGTTAGTCCTTGGGTTTAGGAGGATAAAAGTCCAAGATCAAGTCCAGTAGGTTTAGTCTCAGACCAGAGCCCCTTCCTGGTTCACTGATCTTATCTTCCAGTTATGTCCTCACATGGTTGAAACGGCTTGCTAGCTCAATGGGGCCTCTTTTACAAGGGTACTACTTCCATTTGTGAGGGCTCTATCCTCATGACCAAATCACTCCCCAAAGGCATTACCATCTAACACCATCACCCCAGAGGTTATGATTTTAACACAGGTACCAACAGTAAACATTTTGGTTTTACTTTTCATATTGCTGACCTCTGAAATATGTTGTTATATTAATTATTCCTCAGTTTTGACTTCTTTATGTACATTTTAGCTGCCTCCTTAGCTGAAATATTCTGTACTTTCTAACCTTAAAAAAAAAAAATCCCATCATTGGGTCAGTTGTGGTAGTACACGCCTTTAATCCCAGCACTTAGGAGGCAGAGGCAGGTTGATTTCTGTGAGTTCAAAGGCAGCCTGGTTTATATAGTGAATTTTAGGTTAGCTGGGATTATATGGTAAGACACTGTCTCAAAAGACAAACAAAAAATCATTATGGAAGAACTGGGTATTTTATAGCTTCATCACACATTGCGATATTGTTTTAGGATCTAATTTCCCAGGCTGGACTTAGAAATAACCTCATGGGATTGGTCTAAAATCAGTTATATATTTTCTTTTATACAACCTATTGCCACTATATCCTGGAAATACTGCATGTCATTTTGCTTTTTAAGATTTATCCTAACCATGTAAGTAACAAGAGGAGAGATCTTACATAGCTCACTGCACAGGAAAATGTACTGCTAATCGTTTGACCTTTGCAATGCTCACAGTGGTACACATTTCTCATTTGATTCAAGTCATTAAGTAATTACTGTCTAGAAGTGCACAATATCAAAATATGCAAAAAGAGGACATAAAAAGGTGTGTCAACTAAATGTGGTGGTGGCTCATGCATGTAATCTCAGCACTTGGAACAGGCAGATTTGCCATGAGTTCCAGGCTAGCTTGGACTATATAATTAAGTCCCCTGCTCAGGGACTGTAGTACTGAACAGAT